CCCTCGGGTGCCGCTGGTCCCTCGGAGCTGGGGCTGCCTGGGGGCTGTAGGGATCTGTCAGACACCCAGAGGAGAGGGAAGAAGTTTAGGGCCGTCCTGCAGCTCGCTCTTCCTGTTTGCCAGAGCAAACTCCGTTTGTTTTCAGTTCTGGCGTAATTTGTAGAAGCTTACAGCTATACCAGGTTCCAAGAAAAAAAATATCGCTGGAAGATGCTTCGCTTGCAGCGTGGCTTTTTCTCCCGTGGTAGGAAACTATAGACTAAGAGAGATGTCAGACTTGTTTCTCAGCTGGTGCTGAAGTGTGGGGTTTTAAAGTCACAAAGGCTTTGGGTATCAGGTGTACAAAAGTCAGTTGTGTATGTTCTTCAGGATGCTTTTTGGTTTTTACTTTGATATTAAATGGCAGGTAAATATTTCCACCGCGGCTAGTTCATACTTAACTTGTATAAGCTAATGTGTATTGTTTAGAAGGGGAAATACTATCAGTGGGAAAACTGATGGTAATGTACATTTTTTTAAATACTCTTTTTCCTACAGTTTGTGATTCAGCTAGGGCCCTTCTGTGATGGTCGCTTGTACAGAGTTTGTGTTTCAGATCTTGTATTTAGATGAAACAGAAAAAGGGAAATAGTTTTACACTTGAAGGTGCTGAGTTGTTTGTGCTCAAAGGAGTAGGTGTGAAATAGTGATTGTCAGAAGAAGAAAAAAATCTTACCCGGAGCTCCTGCTAAAAGCCACCCTTTTATATCATTGCAGCTGTGTCCGGAGTTGTGTGACTGGGAACTGATCTAACTGTAAACTGGCCACCAAAATCTTTTCCTGTTTCCATTTTTCTTCATGTAAATATAATAGTAACCATGCTGGGTGTCACACTAAAGAATCATCTTTTGTATGTCTGTAAAAGCCACGAGGCAGGTGCTTTAAAAAAGGGAATGTACATGTTGCTGCTAGGGAATGTTCTCTCATCTTCTCTTCCAGTTCAAAGGACTTGCTGAGGTTTTCCTGATGTATTCTGTAACTATAATTGATAAGTGTTGCATATAGTATTTTGGATTTTTGTTGAACCCTTGTAAGCTCTGTGGCTCTGTTACATTCTGGTGGTTTTTTCAGGTCTGCTACCTGGTGTGAAATTCACCTTATTTTTGAATCTTGTTAGTGTCAACCTAATTTGCCAGGTAGTGTTTACATTAGAACAGTTCCTCTTGTGTTTGTGATACTTAGTCTGAGCTTTTTCCTTCTCACATTGAAAAAGCATGGCATGCTTGTTTCCAGTGAAAAAGTTAAATGCTATTATCATGCATGCTGTTTTGTGAGCCTTTTCTAATTCTAGTAGCTACTTCTCATTTCAATAAGAGAGCACACATTATTGAAAAGGAGAATGAATTGTAGATTTAAATACCAGCATGACTTTCCCTCTTCTCTCTTCCCTGATAGTTCATCTTGTTCAATTCATGATGTGTCTACACAAATACTTGTGCTAGTTTAGGAAAGGGGACAAGTGAGAAGAGTGTATGCTATGTGCTATGGGAGAAGGGTAAAAATGTTGCATTTCAAGTAGTGATAGGTTAAAACCTTTTGGTCTGTAGCATGAAATACTGATTATTGCATGTTGGAAGAGGGTGGGTTTTCTTTTCCCAGTTTGTGCAAGTAGAGATTGTTTTGAATGTAAGGAAATTGGGGCCTGAAGTTGCAGGAACAAGCAGGGTATTTAGTGCTAAGCTTACTTTTTTACAGTGATGTTTATTGAGGCCATTTTCAGTAAAAGCTCCTACTAGAAGTTTCATTTTTCACTTCTGTGGAGAGGATAGAAGTGAAAGGTACATAGCTTTTTATTGTTCTTGCTTTTGACCCCTTTCAGGTAGATGGAAGTATCAGTAAGTTTTGAATGTAATACACATAGGATTTGACATTGGTTGAAATTTTCTAAACCTTTCACATTCTCCTTAGAGCAGATTGTAGAGCCACATTGTGTAAATATCATTCATTTTCACAGGCTGGAGGCTGACCTGTTGTGAATTACTTCATTTTTAAGAAATGCAGTCAAATAAATGGAAGCCCTTAATTAGCCCTAGCAGTTTTGCAGTATAGAAGACTAACTCTGAAGATGCATTGCTTCACTCTTGCTGGTAAAATAGTGAAAGGAGGTGGAAAGAAGAGGCCAGGTCTTGAATAGAGAGATTTCCATTTTTGTGCTGTTACTTTACTCTTCAGATTGAGGAGGCAAATGTTCTTTACTCTTGGGATTTTCTGTGTCTGACTGTATCAGAGTTCATTGTCTGACCTCCCTTGTTTTTTTGTTTTCTGTTATGTGCAGGATAGTGCTGAAGGTTCAGTGTCTGTCACAAAGCAGAGAACAGGATCCATTGGAGATCGCCCAGCAAGACCTACTCTTTTAGAACAAGTATTGAATAAGAAGAGGCTGGTAAGTCTTGTTTTTGAGAGGCTTTGGATTCAAATAAGTAAAGGCAATGTAACAGTGTTTACCTGCCACCATTGTGAAAAAAGAAAATCAGTTTAATAAGCATGCACTGCAAGTGCATAATTTCAAATTTGAAACATGCTTCAGAGATGTGTGCTTCAGTCTCTCTGTGAAGAATACTAAGATGACTGAATTTAATGATCTGAAGTTCTGGTAGTAACAGATGGGGTGGTTTCTTTAGGGTAAATAGTGCCTACAGTATAACTGAGATGGTTTTAGCTTGTTCAGGCAAAGCCTTGGGTAGAACAATGAATGGACTTTATTGGTCTCATGTAAGGTTTACTGTGGTGTGTTTTAGAAGTTGTAGATGTATCATATCAAACTTAAAGTTGTGTATATGTGTGTTGATAAAGCAAACTCTAAGCAAACAGTGTGATTTATTATATTTGCAGACTGCATGGATGGTGAGTCTTGTAAAGTTTTTTAAACACTGATTTCTCCTTTAACTAAGCCCAGTGCAGGGAAATCATTCAGTACCTACAGTTTGCTCAGCCTCTTCACTACACCTTTCTTTGTTGCATGTTTTTGCAGTCTCTATTGTTCAAAAGCTATGGGACTGTTTATCTTCCTCTGTTGTGCAATTAATGCAATTTAACAATCCTCATTATAGTGCTGTAGTGCTTGTTCAGAAATTTGGAAAGCTTTAAAAGAAACATCATGTCAGTCTTAGGTATACAATTACCTAGAGGTATTTCTTGATAAGTCTTTCTCAATGATAGCACTTTTTTAGTGATTGTGTTTAAAACTCAGAGGTGTATTCATAGCTCTTCAGTTTTTATGAGGAAAACAAGTAATGAACTACGGATTAGTTTTCATATTATCTCTTGTTCTTCATGCCCCACTTACTGGCTTGCTGTCCCCTTTCCTGGCTGTTTTTTATGAACATGGCTTTTAATTAAATTTGAAAGGTATCTTATGAATTAAACATTATTTTTTAATAGATGTACAGCAACCAGAAGCTCTTTTAATAGATTTTCAGAGCTTTTGCACTAGTTATGTCAAGGCTCCTTAAGAACTCAGGATTCCTTCCAGTATTCCTGAAATTCAGACTCTTCTTGATCTGGTTCTTGCTTCTTTCTTTCTCCTCTGCCTTCCAGTTGCAGTACCTCTTTGGTTATGTCACTGAAGTAACCATGCATAATGAGCAAGCATCTAGGGAATTCATTCAGCTGAAAAATAACCCTTTTCCTGTATTAATTTTTGGAAGGAATCAATTCCCAACCTGATTTGCCATTTAACCTTACAATCACTTGTGCTGCCACCATGCAGGAATGAGAGTGAACAACTAGAGTTGGATTACAGACTGCAGCTATTCAAGCCAGGAGCCAAATGCAAATATTTTTAGATACTTTGTCTTTTGATTGAATGCAGAGGAGTTTTTTAAGTCATTCTCTATGGATGGGCTTCTGTTTTGAAATGTTGGGAAATTCTGAACAATCAGTGAAAACCATAGAGTATCTTGAGTTGGAAGAGACCCACAAGGATCATTGAGTCTACCTCCCTGCTCCTCACAGGACTGCCTAAAACTGAAATATGTGCTATGGGCATAGTCCTGATGCTTGAAGTCTGACAGGCACATGAGCTTTGCTTCAGGATTACAATATTTTATTCATTTGTTAAACTGGTTTTGAGCGATCTGCAGTGAGAAATGTAGAAATTAGCTCAATTGAAGCACAGCTGTAGAACTGAAGCACAACTGAAAGATGTTTTGGTTCTAGTATGTCAATAAATTACTCTTGTTTGCTATACTTACGGGGTTTTTATGATATTAAGCAACAGCAGTGGGTAATGTGTGAATTAGTGTAGTGGAAAAATATTACTGTGGTAGCTATTTAACGTATGTGAGTTTTGTAAAATAAAGTTCACTTTCTCTCTCTTTCAGTCCCTACTCAGAAGCCCAGAAGTAGTGCAGTTTCTACAGAAACAACAGCAACTGTTAAGTCAACAAGCTTTGGAACAAAGGCAGCAACAGTTTCAAGGAGCACCTGGGTAATGAGGAAAGATCAATGATCTGCAGATGAGTCTGGTGCTGAAGGAGGGACAGGATCTGTATTTTGTATAAATACAAAGAATCTCAGTGTTTAAACAAAAATGGAAGTTGCTGTTGTTATGTATTTGTTTCCTGTTTGCACTTTTTTGAGGTTTTGAGCTGCTTGGATATCTGCAGACTTGTGAGCAAACCATAGAATGGTCTGGATTGTGTTACAGAAACTTCTCAGTCTGACCATTCACAGGACTCTCTGACAGTCACTCTCCCAGTGCCAGAGACTTCAACTTCTGGGGCCAAAGCTCCTTCACTGCAGGCAGCTCCAGTGATCTGACTGGTGCCTCCCCTGACTCCCTGCACACCTGGCTTGCAGTCAGACCAGGTTTCCTTACTGGTTTGACCCCAGGGCTTGAGAACCTTGTTCCATAAAGCAATTTATTAACAGTGTAATAACACAGAAACAGCCTGGGCTGGTGCCTCCAAGGAGGAATCCCAGACAAAGGAACTCCTGGGCTTTTATACCATCACGGTGTAAGGCTCTTCCTCCTGAATCTTCCCTTCTGAGTCTTCCATTCCTGCCACATCCCTGTGTCCATCCACCTGGCTGGCCGCTCACCTTCATGCCTTTTGTTATACAAAGTGTTGGCAGTTCACTGCCTCCTGTCATTGCTCCCACCCAGAGCTCAATTTGCATCTCAATCTGCATCTATAACTGCAGCTTATAAATCAACTACCTGCACCAGATGTGTTCCTCAACAGTTGGAAGGGACCTTGAAAGGTCATCAAGTTCCAACTCCCCTGCTGTGGACGGGGATACCTTTCATAAGACCAGGTTACTTAGAGCTCTGTCCAGCCTGGCCTTGAACACTTCCCAGGGAGGGGGTATACATACCTAGATTCTCTGAGCAGCCTGTTCCAGTGCCTGACGACCCTCACAGTAAAGAATTTCTTCCTAATATCTAATCTAAATCTACTCTTAGTGTGAACCCTTATTCCCTTACTCTGTCCCTACATGTCCTTCTAAAAAGTCCCTCTCCCATCTTTCCTGTAGGCTCACTTCAAGTATGAAGCCACTGCTTTTCTAGGCTGGACAATCCCAATTCGCTCAGCCTTTCCTCAAAGGAGAGGTCTTCCGTCCCTCTAATCAGCTTGTGACCCATCTCTGGATTTGCTGTAACAGGTGGATGTCCTTCTTATGTTGTGGGTTCCAGAACTGGATGCAGTCCACCAGATGGCATTTTTTCCAGACCAGAGGGGCTGTGATTTGTTGACTTTGGCTGGACATACAGATTTATAAATTTTCATTAGTGCCATCCCCTGTCCTTTCACACATAGGTGTTATTTTCCTATCTCAAGAGCATCCTCCACCCCTTCAGATGTCCAACAACTTACAACACAGATTGCTTTCCCCCCAGGGTCAAATCTCCATGGAGCACATACCTGTTTCCTCATCCTTCTACATTACTCACCAAGTACACCCAGGTATTTGAGCAAAGACAATCACATAAATGGGTTTGCCTTTTCCTGTAGGGAGAGAAATCCACCCCGGTGTTCCTAGTCACTTCCCATGTATAGTATGGGAACCTTATCTCCTCCCCCAGGGTGTAGGGGCTTTGTTTGGACAGTACCAGGGAGGTTTGCAGAACTGGTGTTAACCAGCCAAATGGCTTCTGTTAAATTTACATCCCAATCCTTCCATGCCCCGTTACCTAACACTTAACACAGTCTTCAGCAGGCTGTGTGATTGTGTTATACCACACAACCCCTTATCTTATGGGTGATAAGGGATGTGATGTCCACTCAATGCCATGGTTTTTTGCCCAAGAGTTTATTAGGCTGTTTTGAAAAGCAGTCCCATTGTCTGATTCAATTCTTGCTTGGTACCATATTGCCACAAAATGTGTCTCTCAAGATCTGAGATGGTGTCTTGAGCAGTGGCAGTGGTTTGCAGGGCATGTTGCCAGCCTTCCAGTTGTTACTATGGTGAGTATGTACCATATGTTTGGTGTATTTATGGCAATGGTCCAGTTTGCCAGGCCTCACCATACGGGAAACCCAGCTGCTGCTCTCTATTCCAGGGAAAGTTTACTTCAGTGGCTTGGTTGATTGCAGCACATGCTTCTCATTCATGAATGATCTGTACAATGGCCTCCATGGTCAGGTCAGTCCCTCAGTGATGAGCACATTGTTTGTTGCAGCTGATGTTCCATGGCCCCATCAGGTTACAAATGGCTCACCCTTCCACTCCCACTCCAAGTGTACCTAAGTTAATTCAGTTTTGGCAGCCTTATCTACCTGTTCTTCAGTGGAGTGGGTTTTGGGCATGTGAACATCTCCCTGATACACATTTCCAGTCAAGTTTTCGACCTGTGCACTGATGTCCTGCCCCAGTGCAGGTGCAGTCCAGCCCAGATGGGTTTATCTTTGCATTGCCAATTGGTCCTCTTCCATTTTTGCAGCCCCCTCCATAGGTCATTAGCCACCATCCAGGAGTCAGGATAGAGATAGAGGCAAGTCACTTTTCTCATTTCAGCAATCTCTCTGGCTAGTTCAGATGGCTTTCACCTCTGCAAACTGGCTTGACTTGCCTTCTCCTTCAGCAGCCTCAATGACTTGTTCACCTCTGATGGTTTCCTGCCACACAACAGGATTCATCACTAAATAGGGCATAGCCTCTTTCACCTTCTGGTAACTGGTTGTGTGTGGGTGCTTCTTGTGCACAAGTCTTATCTGCAATGCTCTAAAATCTTTGCCTTTTGGCCAGTCCATGATTTTTTCCAGAATTCCCAGTTGAGCTCGTGTAATCAATGCTACCCTCTTACTCCATGTAGCACTGGCTGCGTGAACTGTTATGGGGATGTTTCCTTTGACATCTGGAGAAGTCTTTTCCAATTATTCTTAAACCTTAACTTTATTTTTTAATATTTAATTTGTTAATAAAAACTTGTTTATGGTAGCAGTGTTTAGCTGTACACCCTTTTCTACCAAAATTATAATAAATTAACATTTTTCTATATAAACATTTACAGTTAAGTCAGTCTTTGATGACAATCATTGATGGAAGTCAGTTACTTTCTGTGGGCACTGTGAAACAAAGTTCTGAAGCTGAGTCAGTCCAGTGGCATTAGCTAACAGCAATTGCTCAGGGATATGAGAGATTTATGTCCTGTAGAATCTTTCACTAAAGGCAAAGACAATATGCCATCAAGAAGTCAATCCAGCAGTTCAGAAAAGTACATGTAGGTGATCTCTATTACCTGCAAATTAAGTAGGTTTGAAATGCTACATTGTGCATAGCATGTAAAAGAATTTGCACTTAAAAGTTCCTAAAGTGATAAATGGCAAAAAACTTAAAAAAGTATCAGGTGAAAAGTATGAAACTGAGAGTTGGACCTTGTTACATGGAGTTATTTGAAATTACTAACTTCTTATATGTGAAATATAACTTAATTACAGTTTAGAATACCACTAATTTTTAAGTGACTAAATTAAATTATAAAGTTTTTAACTCATAATAGTAAATAATTCAAAATCTAGTCTCTTTCTTCTCAAAAAGGTATAGTTAAAAGTCTTTTATTAAGACAACAGATCTCTAATCAGCTGCAGTGCTTGACTTCACAGGTTTTCAACCAATTAAAATGAATTTGCAACTAATTGAGTTAAGAATCCAAACACTATATTATGTAAATGTTAAATCCCGTGTTTTATTTATAAAAATTGTTTTGTATTAAGCCACATTTCTGAATAGAGGTTATCCAAATGGGTTAGGTGCTTATTATCAAGTACTACTTTTATATTGCAGCAGTTTGATCCACTAAATAATATCTGTTCAGCAGTATTTGTTAGTCCTGTGGATTTTTACATGTTCTGCTTTTTGTATTTATACAACTTGTTCTGTGGGGATTTATTGTGTTTAGCATTGTGCAAATTGTTCTTTAAAAAAGAACTTGAAAAACTTTGTATAAACAGTTCTGGACCAATAAGTGAGTAAAATCTTTGGTTTTTCTTAAAAAAAAAAATTCTGTTCTTTTTTCTTTTGTTAAATTTGTATAGGTTTTTCTTCCTGTGCTAAAACAGCCAGCTCTGACTAGATGGAAATTTTGTGTTTCAAGGTCTTGTTATAGAAAATTATTTTAAATTAAGCAAAAATAGGTTACTTTTCAGTGAATAAGAATATATGTGAAAACATAATTGGCAAAAATTGTAGAATAATGTACTTGATTTTGTTTTAAATGGTTAACGTTTTAAAGGTGAGCAGATCATTTAGGTGGACAGATCTGATTAAACTTTTTTAAAACCAAATCCCTCAGGGCAGAAAATTGGCACAGGGAGTGTTTGTTAAGACAGTGCCAAACAAGTTGTCTATGTCAAAACAAATGTCAGGTGCTGAAGCTGTGTATGGAGAAGTACAGTAGAGTGCATCTCACCTATCCTGTATTTTTGGTAGTTTGTGATAGCAGCACCATCAGGCCGGTGCAGACACTGGGAGATGTGCTGGTAGCAGTGCTCTCCTGTTTGGGCGGAAGATTGGATGGGATTCCCAAGCCAGCACTGTCTGTGTCGCTCTGAGGCCCATTATGTTGTCTACTCCCTTCTGTTATCGCAGAACAAAATCTGAATTTTAGGAAGATGGAAACACAACACTTACCTAAGAGTACATTCTTATTATATCTCTCATTGTCCTTGAGCAGTTGAAGAACTGTGCAGCTGCAAGTCTGTCTTCCCACTTATGTCAATCTGGTCCAGAGGGAAGGTGTCACAGGGCAGCATCATTGTTCACTGATTGCCTGTCAGATCAGAGCTGTCCCCGTCCAAAGACAACTGAACCATCCTCTTGAATCATCAAATCTATCACAGGACAGTAAGGGATTCATATACATGGAGATTTTATGCTGAATTAATTTTCAATACCTTTTCTTGTGTCAAGCATCCCATTACTCATTTAGTGCAATGAGATGCACTAAGTGAGTAATGGGATGCTTCCTTTTGCCTAAGACTGATTTGTATGATAAAGGCTTTCTGAATGCTCCAGTTCCTAAAGTCACTTGTGGTCATACTGGGACCTACAGCCAATCTCTTTAAAAGAGAAGAATGGGAGACAACAAGAGAAGGGACTCTTAAAACAGAAATCTCTTTATTAACAGTAAAACACAAGACGTGAATAATCCCTTTTACAATAGAATAATTCTGGCCAAAGAAAGTGGAGTGCGTTAAAAAGTGTATTGTTCAGGCTAAATGTGTTGTCTTCAGAATGCCTCAAATCAAATGCAGCAGGAGGAATGCTTGAGAAAGTGTCCCCTTTGTTAGCAGTCATTCCATTTTTCTTGGTATGACATGGAATGGAATGGAATAGAGTACTCTGGGGCTGGTTGGAGGACTCCAAGCTGCCCGGGTCTCTCGCACTCCTGAATTTTTCATTCTCCAGAGGCAAGAGCCCAAGTATTGTTCTTTATATAGCGACCTACGCTGGCTGACAGAAGGTCACAAACCGTGAGTAATACTTGTGGATAGTGCAGATGTTTTGCTTTGCTTCTGATGGAAAACAGAGGGCAGAATTATTCATAGACATGCGTGACTCTTGTTAATCTGTGGATGACTACAGTGCTTTTCTCACCAGACTGATAGGTCATAGTTAACACAACCCCATAGTTAACACTCCTTGCTCAAATCCACCAATTCATAGAGCTTTGCAACTTCATGGCTTCGTTGATCCACACAAAAAGGCCTGTTTCTTCACTTTCTTGTCTCACTTCTCAACCCCATTAATATCACAGAGGTGATATGAAATGAAGGTTTAAATTGCTATCACTGACTTATCTGCAGAAAGCAGGCTGTGGTACATTTAACTTATACTTTAACAGTATTATAAATAATTAAAAACTCCAATTGCTTGAGTAAGTGAAAAAATTTATCTGAATGCACATTGTGTCTGCTCATCATTATGTTTGTTCCCTTGCCCTTGTTTGCAAAGCTTCTTATGGACATAACTGTGAATTAATAAGACAACACACACTTTAGCATCAAATAAACCACTTTGAATATGATGTGCTCGCTCACTACTGTGAAAGTGCAAGGGGTCAGATTTTACCAAGATTTCTCTAGCTTTTCTTTGCTGATGAAGTCTGTATTTAAAATTATTAACTGCTTGGTCTATTTCACCCTATGCTATTCATATGCAATATTATTTGAATACTAACACAGAATATAAAATAGCAGCATCCATGGATAATAAAAACACTATGACTGAAGATCTAAAATGTGTTCACAATTAGCTGCAAATGTTCACATTGACCATAATGGAAGAGTAGCTGATTCTGGAGGACATAGTGGTTATGTCTACCTTGCGTGAGAGACATGGCCTGCAAATTAGATTTGTTATCTATACAAGTGCCAAGTTTGCAAGCATGCCCCAGGTGCAAGTGGAGGTGTCCTCTTGCTAGGATTCTCATGTGTCTCACCTCCCTGGCAGAGAAATGTGGCATCAGTATGGCAACGTAATGTAAGGCACGCCTGGGCAGGGTGTCTGGACAGCCCTGGGGTGAACATGTAAGAGGATTCTGGCTGTTCCTGACTGTTCTGGAACTTCCTGTGGGTAAATGATGGGTACAAACCAAAGGCTGTGTTCTGTGCTGGTCCCCAACATGCAGAAGTTGTGTGTCCTAGACACACAAAGAGATTTCTCTCAACTGAACAAAGACTAAATGCCCACTCAGGCTTCTTGTATCTTGCAGAAGGGTACTCCTGGAGCTGCCATGAGGAACAAGCCCTGTTTCAGTGGCTGCAATGAAGCCTCCAGGTTGAGAACTTCTTAATTCATAGATCTCAAGTTTCACAGAATCTCTCTCCTGGCTGCAAGATGAGACTAACTGTCAAGCTCTTTTTTCATGGTAACTTGACCTCTTAGTTGCTCTTAGGGAAGCACACTTGTCCACCCTTATGTACTGTTAAAAATCTGATTTCATAGTCAGGAGTCCTCATGAAGGTTCCTGCTGACTGTTTTTCTTTGGGCACTGCAATTTCCCACCTTATCTTGTAATGAGCTGGTTTGTTGCAATTCCCAGGTTAGATGCTCTCTCCATGTATAGTCCACAGCTTTCAGTAGTGCAGTTTCTGTTCAGACTGCATCTTTCTTTGAGGAGTATATGCTGGATGTGTTTGTAGTGTCCTTGGATAATGCCCTGAAGCTGAGCTCCTCATTAGTCTTGGGGTGAGGCAGAGAATAATCTTCCAAGTTTGTTTCCCAAGTGCAACGAGAGCTTACTCTCTGGGGCACATGGGACACCATTTGCCCCACGATATCGGATGGCTTAATCAGGAAGCTGGCACATTCTCCCAGGCCAGGTGTATAGCAAACACCCAAGCAAGGATTGTGGTAATTCAAGCTGCTTCTAAAACAGGCCTTGAGTGGCTGCCTGGGCCTTATACCTCCAGTGATGACCACTGCGCTTATCTGGTTGTACGCTCCCTCCTCCTCCTCAGTATCTTCATCATCTCAGTGCACTTCTGACTACTGGAACACCCATGAACTGTAAATCCTTTATAAAAATTTTCTCAGCCCCTTCAGTGAGGTCTCCACTCACTCAGAAGGGCTTGGGTTCAGATGTTCAAGTAACAACCAGGTCTCCAGGTTTCTCCAGAGCAAGGAAGTCTTGTTCCTGGCTTGGTGGGCATCTGCGACATCATTGTCATCAAATAGTTTGGGTTGGAAGTGACCTTTAAAGATGATCAAGTCCCAGCCTCCTGCTGTGGGCAGGGACACCCTCCTGTAGACCAGGTTACTCAAAGCCCCATGCAACCTGGCTTTGAACTTCTCTGGGACAGCTTTTCCTGTGCCAGTGTCTCCCCACCCTCAGAATAAAGAATTTCTGCCTAATATCTTAACTAAAACTACCCTCTTTCAGTAAAGCCATTACCCACTTGTCCTATAACTACATGGCCTTCTCATGATATAAATCTACATTTTAGGCAGCACTTCTCAGCTTTGAAAAATTGTATTTAATTACTCTACTTTATGACTCATTGTTCTTTTTTTGTTGTGTTTGATTTTGCTTGTACTAAGTTAGGTTATGTGGAGCTAGGGGAAGAGGTGAATAGTAAGAGAGGATGTAATGTTTCTTTCCTTTGCTGAGTACCAGGTAGTGCTAAAGTATTCCTAAAATACTTTGTAGTTGTACCAGAGCAGTCTTGATCCAAGAACATTAATCTTATACTTGATACCCCTTTAAAGTTCCTGAATTGATCAGGCTTTTTTATTAACCGTTTCCATGCAGTCAAGAAGCCAAGTCTCTGCCTGAGCTGCCTCTGTAAATCCAGCTGTTTGTGCAACTCCTTAGTCACTGGTGAGATTCATTTGTAGAGCTGATAGACAAAGATGGGTGTTGTAAGTCAGGAAGAACAAAAGCAGATTAGATAAGGTTACAGTCACAATTGCCTTGTTTTCTGCATTTTAAGAGGGGTGTGGTGAATATACGTTTACAGTGAGAGATGTTTGGAGTGCTGATTTATGCTGAGGGAACACTAATATGAAATAGCTAAGGAGAAACATGTTTCATCCTGAAAGTGCTGCTAACAGAGAGCTCCTTCCTGTGGCAACCAGTTATGACTGAATCTCCACAGAAACCCAGAGGGTGAAGTATATTGGAAGGGATCTCACCATGGCATCAAGTCTGACACCCTGTTCCAGACAGGGACTGCTTGAACAAGGCTGCTCAGGGTAGTGAAAGTCTTGACACAGTACCTGCTGGAGACATGGAAGGGATTTCCTCAAGTCCAGCTGATGCTACTTTGGGCCACAGTTACCTTTCAGACTGAGCTTGCCGAAGCATTCTGATGAGGAGTAAACACATTGGTGGAATAGCAGCTGATGGGGAGGGCAAGTACGTGTTGCACCTTGCAATGCTACAGCCACTGCTGTGCCATACCTGGGCAGCTTTTCCTAGGCAAGGGGATGGGACTGAGCCACCCAAGCAGCAGTGCCATGGAATGGCTCCAGACAGCCAGGCTGCGAGATTTGCTCCTGCCACCTCCGGATGCAAACAGCACATTAATACTGGTGGTGCCGAAGAACTGGCAGCAACTGAAGTCATCTTCTCTCAACTGTTTAATAGGAAAACAAGTGGTCTACATACCATGCTGAATGTGCTTTATGACTCTGCCTCATTAGGCTCCCACCACTGCCTGCTGATGCATGGTACTGCTCCACAGAATCTTTTAAGAGGCTATGAACTGTTGATGACTCAAAAAAACCCATTTTAAAAATCTGCTTTCAACTAAGTAGTCTTGCTGTAAGTGGTTTTAAATCTCTCAGGAGGACTGTCTCCAAAGGCTGAGCATTAATGAGTAAAACATTTATAAAGACCTTAAACTACTACAGGTTTAAAGGTTCATGAAGACCTTTGAGTAGAAATCATCTCCTTCCAAAGTGGGGAAGACATTAGAGATACAAAGTTCTATTGCTGTAAATTGTAAGAAACCTGAATTTTAACCAATTGCAATTCATATATATTAGAAAAGTCTGTAAAAGGAACCTTGTTAAAAATAAAGGGAAATAAATGGTTTATTAGCCTTACTTTTTATGTGGGCAAGTCTAATATTATTTACTTTTTTGTCTCATCCTGTTACCGCTCCTTCCACCTACTGTGGGCTTTGGGGAGGAGCTGTCAGCTTCTGTGTGTTTGCACAGCACAGTGGGCTAAGCCCCCAGAAACCATCACAATAGGAAACAACTGACACAGTGGTATCAGCCTTCCCAAAGGCTAAAAACAGATGGCTGTTGCCAGAATTGCCCAGAATCAAGTGCTTTGATCCAGTTTTCAGCAAATAGTTAAATTTGCTGAAATTCATCTCATGCTACAGGTGTTTTAAATAGGTCAGAAGAATCATGCTCCAGAAATGCCTCTTTTCTTATTAGTAAGGCAATTATTAAAGTGACTACCTTAAATGAGATGCATGTATGGACTACATGGAAGCCAAATTCTATTTGTAAAATGATTAAAGGTAGGCATAAAGGAAAGCAAAAACTGCTCTAAATTGACCGACTTCCATTTAAACCAAACAAACACTTGCTGAGCAAGCATCATTACTAGGCTGGGAAAGTCGAAACACTGTCATTAGGGTTCACTTCATCTATTTTTGGATACATCCAATGTAGCAGTCTGCATTTGAGCTGATGACCCTGAGTTCCCCTTTTACTCAGTGGGAAGACACAAACATGATCAGATAGGAGTGTATTTCACCTGCCTGAAATACCTTGTGATGAAACAAATAATGCCCCAGAAGAAGCTGCTTCTCTTCACTGGCCATTTTTCCAATTTTTCTCTGCAGTATTGACAGAAAACTGAGTTCTGGAACTGCCCAAGAGCAGATGCACCTCAGAACATTTCTCTTTGCTTTCTGTGAGGAAGATGACAATGCTGGGAATGTCTAAAAGGAACTCCTAGGCTTCTCTCTATATTAAAAGGGAAGGAGGCTTCAGCCTAAAAGACAAGGAAGAATCTAGGATAAGGGACAGAGCTAGATCCTGGACAGTAAAGGTGATATCCTCTGTCCTTAGCTGCTAAAACAAAACAAAACAAAAAAAAAAAAAAAAAGAGCAAAATCAAAAGGTGCTCATCCTTTGGAGCAAAGGTCCAGCTGGAGAAGAGGAGCAACAAACGTGCTAAAAAACATTACCAGGATCTGATCTCTTAACAGATACTGTAATAGAGAGAGATGAGGAAAATGCATTTTTCCAAACTGATGTCTCTAAAGTCTGCTAAATAGTAAATGGCCTGGAATTTCTCTATATGATTATTATTGTTATTAGATTTCATTGCTGCAAGAGACTGTAAAATTTTTCCTATCTCATAGTGACACTGCTGACATCAAATGGTGACAGAATAGGGTTCTTTGCACTTACAAATTTCCTATACAACTTGCTATTACTGCTCAAACTTAACAATAATTTATCCTTCTGTGCCCTGCTAAAGCTGCAGGCAGCTGAAGATGCATTCAAATGAAATAACACTGTTAGTTTACTCACTGTCTCTCTGGTGAATATTTCCTTTTGCATTTGTGATACAGCTGAAGATTTCAGGAGTCTGCTTCTAAATATTCAGCAAAATGTCCAGCACCAGATATTGTTTGAGAAGAAAAGAAATATTCTGAAAAACATTTTTTTTTCACTAATATTTCTACTTGTTCTACGGAGGAATGATGTTGCAGATATTTTCAGTCTTTCTGACTCTTGAATAAAAACGATTTTCAGCGG